GGGACAATTATTTAGGGTTAGGATGAACAGAGCTTGGGCAAGCCAGCTGGTGTGTCCACACATGTGTAACAAAGGCTAATCCTGATGGAAGATGTAGCCAGCAGAGGAAAGAGAATCCAAGTGGCCTGTAGACCAAGGACTAGATACCCCCATTTAGCTAGCACAGAATTCTAAGGAATCCAATAATTCTAAATTCAAAGCTGTCTTCCAGGTTATTTTGACATTTATTTGTCAGGAAAGGAGGATAAAATTCATTTTTATTTAACAGTTTTTTAGCTGGACTTAATGACTTTTAAATACTTTGCCTTATGGTATGTGAGCCTCCATCTATACTCTTACTCTAGAGTCAATAAATGTTAGGGATGGGCCCATTCTTTGTGGAGACTGAGAGTAATTAAATAATCATACACACACACACACACACACACACACACACACGCACGCACACGCACACACTGTAAAATTGAACCAGAACTCTAAGAAAAATAATATACTTTATGGGTCTCTCCTAAAATGCTCTACTTGATCTCCATTCTCAGGGTTCTTAATTGCATCTTCCGGTCTCCAGTTTCCCCTGAGCACTGCAAAGCTCTTCTCTTACTACCCCAGGACCTAAAACACTGACTGAAATATTTCACACCAGTCTTGCCCCTTCTCCACGTGGAGCTCTAGGGAAGCAAACACCAGGAAGAATAAGGGAGGCAGGCCATGCAGGTTAGTCTCTTCCAGACTCATTTTCTCTTTTCCATTAGGTCCAAAGCAGATACCCCACCACCACCACCACTACCATGGTGGATTTCATCCTTGTACCAACCTCTAGGTGCCTAGGAGATGGTTTCACCTCTTTGTCAAGGTATCCATGTATCTCACAGTTTTTCTGCTTCCAGATGTCTAAACTTAACCTACATCTATTTCTTCTCACTTAGTCTTCAGCAGAAACAGAGAAGCCTTCTCTGACTAATTGGGGAAAAGGTAGCACATTCCTCCACTTGTCTTTCTGAAAAGGCACCCCACACACTAGCCACTTTAAAGCACACGTCTCTTTCTTGTATCCAATATTACTCTAATTCACCTGCGACTCACTGTCTGTGTTCTTGATCCCTATCAGCTTCTGTGATGTCTGGGTTAGATTGTGAAACTCCCGAAGGGCAGGGCCACATCTGCCCTGTGTCTCCAGACCCTGCTTGGCAGAGCAGCAGGCATAGGTAGGCACTTACTTGATAAAGACTTTTGATGATGGAAATAGAAAAGCAGTGCTCTGAACCTAGAGGATTTTGAGTGCACAAGAAGCAATCTATTATCACCACCAGACCACAATCACAGCAGTCCTGCCAGGGACTAGACTGGGAAACGGCGCACACTTTTCCTTTTAAATGAGGCAAGGGGAACACTGTCTCACCTCTGAGATAATAACAACAAAACAGTGTGACAGCATGGCTCTGTGTTGACTGATCTGATGCTCAAAATGACCATCAGTTGAGGACTATCATTATTATCCCTGTTTTACAGAGGAAGAACCTGAAGCAGAGAGAGGCTGTACTACTTGTTCATGCCTCGAAATGGGGCCATCTGGCTTCAGAGATCTCAGTTTATCTGCCATGGTGCATCGAAGTGAACCAGTGCAGCTTCAGCCAGAAATGGACGGTAAAGAACTGCCAGCTGGGCACTTGTCCCACACTTCCATGGAACCTTGACCCCTGCCCAACCTGAATGAATGGCTGAGAGGAGGAGGATGGCTACTCAGTCAGCTTGTGAGCATGGAGCCAAGTTGGCTTTCGAAGCATTTGTTCACACACACCATCCATCTGCCTCCTCCTGTCCTCTCTTCTGGTTCTCAAACATGCTAAGCTTGTTCGCACTCAGGTCTTTGAACTTGCTATTTCATCCACTTGGAATGCTTTTTCCCCAGGCCTACACATCAGTGGCTCCTTCTCATCATGTAGGGGTTAGCTTAGATGGCACATCCTTGGGAAGGCTGTCCCTGATCACCCTTTTGAATGTTGCTGCATCTTTCTTAAACCCTCCCTTTCATTTTTATTTAAGTTATTACCTTACTTGACTTTGATCATAGTACTCAACACCATTTGAAATAGCTTTACTTATCCACTAGTTTACTGGTCTGTTCCTGCATCTCCACTAGAATGTCACCTTTAGAAGAGCAGAGATCTCACTTGTTTTGTTCATGCCTGGATATTCAGTGCCTAGAACAGCATCTAGCACACTGCAGGTTCCCAACAAGTATTTTTAAAGTAATAGAATGCATGGACAAATGAGTGTAAAGTCCATCACAGGTATGTGCAAAAGTAGAACTGGCTGGCTCCTGCTGTTGCCCCTTACCACATACATTACAAACTCTTATCAGGAAGAGACCACATCTTCATTTAGGGCAGTTTTTTAGCCCTTGGAGTAGTGGGAAATGACTAGGGAGCTGTTTGGTGCCTTTGTTTGGGCAAAGAAAAGACCAAGACGTTCAGTCACTGAGACTGCAGACTGCCCTCCCTTTAGAGCCACGTGTGGACAATTGCTGGATAGCTTGCTTCCTGAACAGAAAATACAATACTGACATCTCAGCTCTTCACTTTCTGTCTGTCTTTTTTTCTTCCTACTCTAAAGAGTTTCCTCCATCTCCCCTTTGTTGCTCTTTCTCACTGATATCCTGTGAAGAAACAAGTAAAAGTGGGAAAACGTGTTCATACCTAACACATGCTACTCATTCCTATGAGAGCACAATCTCATTAAAGTCTCCTGGTCCCTGCACAAATAATGCAAACCCCCAAATATCATCATCATAGGCAGGAATTGCTTCACTTAATCCAGTCTTAATGTGCCAACATGATCCCCCCCCCCACTCTTTGCACATAATAATAGAGCCCATTCCTTTATTGGTATTAGTGTTTTAATGCAATGCTTTATTTATGACACACCATAAAAATAATGAAGAAGAAAGGAAACTCCTAACCTCTGCCTAGACCCTGCATCACATGAGGGCATTTCACAATAGCCCTAATGATCCTTTTCTTCTTCTTTCTTCAATAAAATACTGCTTTTCCATGATCAAAATACCTGCCATTATATTTTAATCCTTCTCAAGATGTTTTCAGGCTCATTATCTTCTGAATCCTCCCCCTCAGACTTATAAGGAAAACAGGACAGAAAAAGGTGCCTCTAAATCACAGAAGTTGGAAAAGGGGCCCCAAGGCATAAAGCAATTTGAAGAAGTTCACACAGCAGGTGAAATATCATCCAGAACAGGCTCCAAGTCCTGTCGTTTTCTAGAGACAAGGGTGTTTTTGCCAGAAGCCACACTTTCAGCAGCCTCTGTGACATGCAGACCTAAGCCAACCCATATGGGAGAAGAAAGAAACAGCTTAAGGAGTTAGGAGGCTAAATAATTCTTTCTTTTGGAAAAGATGAGGCTCCTGATTGGGGCAAAATGCTGAACAGGAGCACCCCAAAGTGAGGCCCCACTCTTGCTGCCAGCCAAGCTACTCCACTCTGTACCTCTGTGGGAGGTCCACCAATGGAAGTGGAGAGAAGGGCTGGAAGAAAGGCACCGAGCAGGCACCCTGCATCTTCTCATCTAACAGAGTCCTCAGCTCTGGGCAGGACTTCATTTGGGACTCCAGGCAAGCCTAGTCACAAGAAGGAGGAACTCAACTCTCAGCCTCTCAGAAACATCAATTCAACAAGATCTGTATCACCTCCTCTCATAATGCCCAAGCGGGGGCCCCAGTCATCATCTGTCCCAGAAGTGTGTTGCCCATTCAGAGCAAAGATAAAATGAATGAAAATGTCAGCCAAGCCTGTCTCTCACAGAGCAAGGCTTCAGAAAGAGCCAGGGCCACTCAAGATCGCTGGCATCATTGCATCCTGTCACTCCACCACTTGTTCAGGAAACACCAAGAAGTCTTCCCTCCACTTCTGGGAAACTACTGAAAAAGTGGCTGTTGTGGCCACACAACTCTGACCAAGGTGTGATTGAATGTTCCTTCTCCAGCTTCACTAACTAGGTCACATTTTCAGGTGAGTCTTTTCCATCTGGATTCTGTGATGTGTTGCCACAATTCACGACTCTGGGAGAATGTCCACCTGCTATCTTCAGCCTCTAGAAGACACTAGATTGGAAGTGGAGCTGGAAGGGCTGGTGTGAGTCTGTCTGAAAATCTGAATGAATGGGTTATGGAGGACCTTCAGACTTAGCAAGATTGGTCCATGATTATACTTGATCCCCTATCCTGGACGGGGAGAGTTTAAGGGACATTCTAATCTGATGTGCTTCAGGACTAAGAAGAGGAGTAGATATGACAAGGTTCCCTTTCTTCCTTCTCCATATCTCTTCCACTCACTCTCAACCTGCTTCCCTATTTGCTTTCAACCTAGGAAAACCTTGAGTCTGCCAAGAAGTGTCTTAGCAAACAGTAGAGTCTTCTAGGACCTAGAATCTCTCTCCATGTCCTCCTCAGTGACTAAAACATGCTGCTGAGGATGTCAATGTAACATGGGAGGGGCAGTTGAAAGTGAAAGAATAAGGTCAGGCTTGTTGTGTTTCAGTCTGTGAGAACCAGGAAAGAGGACAAGATCTCTGCACATTTCCCTCCAAAGAGGGAAGAAGTTTGAATCTGGGACTGAAACTGGGCTGGGGGAAATGTCAGTAAACAACAAATCAGATAAAAAGAGATCTCAGCCACAAGCATGAATGTACCACCAAGTTCCTTCATTTTATCACTTCTGAATCGTCTATTCTGAGGATGGTTATGGAATTTTTGGATGGAATTGGAAACACTAGCATTGGAAGGAAAATGCAAAAACTGGGGTACAACTGAGCCACCAAACAGGCTCTACTGGGAACCAGACATCTTTTGGGGAAACTTAACCAAAAGAAACATCACTGAGGAGCCTTTAGAGACAGCACAATGTTTCCTGAGGACAAGCAGGTGAGTAGTAATCTGCAAGACCTGGAGACACCATAAGGCAGCAGGAAAAGGGTAAAGGGGTCTCACCTGTTCCGGCCCCTGGAAGCAGATGCGGCAGAGCGGGGTCCTCATGCCACTGTCCAGGCTGCTGCCCAGTGAGTAGCAATCCTCAGCCTTCCCCTTACAGAAGTCATCTGAGGAGGCACTGCTGAGCAGCGAGGCAGGTGGCTCTGTGGCTGGGCCGCCCCAGTCATCTTCCACAGAAGAAGGTGGCAAAGGTGGTGGAGGTGGCAGAGGAGTGGTCTCCCTGCCCACCCCTTCTCGAGGGCCCCTCCAGCCTGCCCACCCCCCGGCACCTAGAGCCGGAAGGGTGTTGTTGTTGGCCGCCAAACTGGGGGGCTGGGGGTCTCCGTGCATGGGCAGGGGCGCTGGAGGGGGGCGCCGCAGTAGGAAAACCTTCAGGTCATTGAAGAGCATGCGGCAGCGGCACTTGAGGAGACCCTGGTGGCGCAACATCTGGGGAGCCGGGGCACACAATCCACAGCAGTACCAGGCACAGCAGCAGCAGCACCACCACCACCAGAACAGCCCACTCAGGGGCATCAGCATGTGCCCAGTGGAAGCAGAGAGCCCAGGAGGGGCAGCTGGAGTCTTTTCAGAGGAAGATAGTAGAATGGTTTGGGGGGTTCCACAGCAAAGCTGTGTTTTAAGGGGGGGGATCTGCTTTCTCACTGGCTCCTCTTACAACCCCTCCAAGTAGCAAATCAATTGCCCCCAGCACTTAGAACTGTGAGTCACTGATTTTGAACTCTCCCTGGAAAGCTGGACAACAAAAAAGGTTTTCTTTTTTCCTTCCTACCAACCTTAGCTTTGCTCAGGGTGTCTCCTTTTTGCCTTTGACTTGGGGGCATTGGGAGGGGAAGGGTTTTTTTTTTTTTTTTAAATGTTGAGGAAGGGCTGTTTGGGCCTTGAGATCAAGGTCTAGTTGTTAGAAAGTTTCCCAGGAGAAGATTTTTGAGTTCTTCTCAAATTCCTAGGCAGTGGGAAATTTCTTTTCTTTTGTAAAAAAAAAAAAAAAAAAAAAAAAAAAAGGGTGGGGAAGATTATCAATCAAATTTGGAGTGGACTGAGCTGGGCTTAAGGCAAACCAGCCCAGTGAAAAATTGAGTACTGCATGTGCAGAGAAATAGTTTTCCTCAGGTAGCAGGTGACTGGTCGTGGGGGGTGGGGTGGGGGTGCACACTGGGGAGGAGAGGAGGTTGGGAGAAGTTTTAATTCTCCTGGGCAGAAAACTGGGGCAATTAATCCCCAGAAGCACCAGAGTTGCTTTTAAGAGAGCAGTTGGATGGGAGGTGAGGGGGCGGGGAGGAGGGATTGCAGGTGAAATTGGGCAAGGGACTTGTGCTTTGCCTCTGCAGCCAAAGGGCTGTGCAGAAGAGGGAAAAGCCAATTAGAAGAATAGAAGTGGGAAAATAATGGGCTGGGGAGGGGGAATGAAAGGGGAGAAAAAAGAAAAGATCGTTTAACCCTTGCAGATCCGCTTCCTTCCTGAGCATTAAGATCCTGGCTAGAGGAAGGGTGTGGGTATAGGGGACGGGGGGGCAGTGGAGCAGAGAGATGGGGTAGAGAAAGGGGGCGTGTGGGAAGAGACAGGAGGAAGGAGTAGTTACATGATCTCAGCCCCCAGTCCACCCCTGCGGCAGTCTGTAAATCCGTGGCCCCTTCCCCTTGGCTCCATCAAAGGTCCCTTGGGGCGAGGGGCAAGGGGCGGTAGAAGGGCAGATCCGGGCGGGTGAGTGGCCTCGCCTTCTCTTCCTCTTCCTCTTCTGGGCCGTAGTCGCCCTCCTCCTCCGGCTCCCACTCTGCCCGCGGCCGCTGGTGCTGCTGTGGCGGCGGCAGTGAACGCTGGTCGGCGTCCCGGTGTCCCCGGGGCGGGGGCTGCTCCGGCTCGTCCTCTGGCTGCTGCTCGCCGTCCGGCGCGTCCTCGGCTCCCGGCTTCATGATCCTCCTCCTCCTCCTCCTCCTTCCCTGGGGGCCGGCTCTGAGCCCCCGCGCCCGGGCAGCGCTGCCATGCAACCGCAGGCGAGGCAGGCGTAGGGGTGGGGGCGGCTGGGGAGTGAGGGGGGGGCAATAAAAAACGAAATAAAACTAGTGGAAGAATAATAATTCGGTTCCCAAATAATCAGGCAAGAGTGCTTCTGGAGGGGTGGGGGTGGAGGAGGGCGGCTGCCGGGTCTTCACCACAGCTCAGCCCCCGCTACCCCCCCCCCCCACCAAGGGCGGCCTCGGCCGGCTCTCTGCCCCCCCCCCACGCCCCTCCCTCCTCTCCGCTGCCTCCGGCTGGTTGGGCTTGCTGTTGCTACCTCCTCGCAGATGCAACGAGGTAAGGCTTGTTTGCGGTGCCAGTTGCAGGTGGGGAGGGGGAAATGAAGCAGTGTGGCCGAGGTGGGAGACAGCGGCACTTGGCTCCGGCTTGGTCCCCGCGACTCCTCAAAACCGTATATAAATATATCTCTTATAAAAGGCGAGAGGAAGCAAATCAGATTCCAGGCTGCTGCCAGGTGTTGTCTCGTCTTCCGCCGTTGCTCAGCACCCGCCGCCGCGACTGCTGCCCCCCTGGCTCAGTTCCCAAAGGGGTGGTGCTGGAAGGGAGGTGGCGGGGCGGTGAGCTGACCGTCCGAGGAAGGGAAACAAGATTCTAGGAGCGGAGAAGGCTCTCAGCTATCTCCGCCGCCGCCGCCGCCGCATTCAGCACCCCAGGCGAGTGGACAGCTCCCACCCAGACCCCGGCGTCACGCAAGTAGGGGCCTGACGCAGACGCCGGGGAGGGATAGAGCAGGGAAAGCGGCCAAGAGAAAAAAGAGGCTAGGGAGAGAGAGAGAGAGAGAAAGAGATAGAGGGAGAGACAGAGAGAGAGAGAAGGGGAGAAGAACTGTTGGAGGGAAGGGGATGGGGAGGGACCAAGGGAAAGGGAAGGAAGGAGGCGAGGGAGGGAATTAGGAAAGAAGGGAGGAGGGAGCAAAGTAGAGAGGAAGAGGGAGAAAGCCAAGTGGAGTGGAAGGAAGCAGTTCAGGTACATTTCCCCCCAGCTCGAAACTATCAATGTGGAGAGTTAGGTTGCAAAATTTCTTCCCAATGGACACTATCACCAGCCCTCTCAACACGCATACACAGAGCCTTCTACGTCTCAACCAGAGCCCATTTCCCTGCTCCTATCAACATTTTGAGCAGCTTTCAGTCTGCAAGCTTTGGAAAAGATAAAGTTTTGTGATTCTCACACTAACAATGAGACTTGGTGGAGACTAAGTCCCTCATGACTAGGAACTCATGAGAAGAAAATGCTTCAAAGAGGGAAGGGATACCAGCACCATTTCTGCCAGTTTCTTCTAGAATTTAAGCTAAGAAGGGCAGGATTTGTTTGTTGCTGTAATTTTGGTCCATTTTGATCATATGTGTGCATAGGTCAGTGGGGGCATGCAGTTAAGTGCCCAATACATATTTGTTGAATGGACTATGACCATCATCACTATCACCAAAGTCATCATTACTCTAAGCCATAGACCTCTTTCTTTTTTTTTTTATTTTTTTAAATGTTTTTATTTATTTCTAGGAGAGAGAGAGAGACACAGCGTGAGGAGGGGAGGGTCAGAGAGAGAGGGAGTCACAGACTGAAACAGGCTCCAGGCTCTGAGCTGGCAGTCAGCACAGAGCCCGACGCGGGGCTCGAACCCATGAACTGCGAGATCATGACCTAAGCGAAAGTCGGACGCTTAACCGACTAAGCCACCCAGGCGCCCCAACCATAGACCTCTTTCAATTGTGAATCATAAGAATCCAGAACAGTATTATAGCCTCATCCTAACCAATATCTCCAACATCCCCTGATCCAAGCTTTTCACTGAGTCACTGACAAGAGGTATTTGAAATGGATTTTAATTTCCTCTTTTGTTTCTGACTCATGTCACCCTACTGCATCCTTCTCAAGGAGCTCCTAGTGAGTAGAAACAGAAAACTTAAAGTGGTCTGTATAAATCCTCAGTATTTACAGCTGTAGATTTCAGTCATTTAAAAACTTAAGCTTACAAAAACAAAATAAAATTTAAAAAATAAAACTTAAGCTTGCTTTCTTGCCTTTTTTCATGACCTCCTTTCCTCTATATACACACACACACCTCCAGGGTCATAGACTTGGACAAGCTATCCCAATGAGTCATCTACACAGCTGTGATAATGCCTTTAGAAATATTGGAGCCATAAACAGAGAAGCATGCAAAATCTCTGCACCAAAATATAACTGGCATGAAGTTCAGCCCTATGAATCATAAGAAAACTACCCCTTTGCCGCCATCTCCTTGAATGTTTTATTCTTTTAAGTGCTAAGAAGCAAGGACCTAAGTCTGGGTCCTGATTAAGCCAGGATGGCTGCTTGTATGAATCATGCCTCATCACCCACCACGGATGCTGACACCTGGCCCAAGGTGAATGGTTGGAACAGGATACTACAAAAATAACTACAAAATAATATGTATATTATGGATATCAGCACACCCACTCTGCTGCAAAAGAGAATTTCTTTGTTACAAAAATCCATCTGCTCTCAAAGAAAATTCTCTGTGCGCCACATCGCCCTGTGCCTGACTCTGACATTGCGCAAATCACACTCTATAATAATGATCTCATCATACATTCATCTCCCTTTACAAGACACAGAGCTCCTTGAAGGCAGGGACCAGTCTTATATTTGTACCATTAGCACATAACACAGTGCCTAAAAGCCCAATGGGTGATAAGAAAAAACAAAATTGAAATGAAAGACCTTTTTGTTTTAGTGAAGCTACCCTATTTCTTCCCTTAAACCTCAACACATTCATGTGAGTGCTCTCATTCATGACTGAATATCTGCTTTACCTAAAGCTGAATTTCAGGGTCTTGTAAAATACTAATACTCCTAAAATACTAGATCCAATTGTGTCACGCAAGTGAGTCGGGGCAGGAGAGAGAAGAGCCATATGAAGCCTATATTCAGAGTTACAGAAAGGGGTGATATCCATAACACTGTCTTTCCCAACCCTTCCACTGAAAGGAAAATGATTTCTAGAAACAGAAAGCTGCTAAGGATGTGAAGCAACAACAGGGCTGTCTTCAGAAAGACTGGAAGTCTTGAGAAATCTGTTTTGAATATACTGTAAATCCTGAAAAGCACCTCACTGACTTAGATTCTCCTTATGTTGATAATGAAACAATGGTTGTGAACCCCAAGAGTAAAAGCCACAGTAAGAAAATGTTAAATCAATGGGTCTTCATTCAAGTATTAAAAAAATATTTACTAAAGATGGATCATAGACAAGGCATTGTATTGGAAAATGGAAGCACAAAAATGGATTGGTTGGAACTGCATCCTCAAGGGTCTAGTACCTTACGTATGTACATAATCATAATATAATACATAAAATAATAAATGTTATAAAGGTATAAAATGTTTGGGAAGTGTTTAAAATGAGGAGGTAACTATGTTTATGGCTTGGCAACAATAAAGATAGGTGGGAAGAGGTAGAGACACCAGAGCCCCAAGAAAGCCTTTTTCAAAAAGTGACACTTGAACTGAGTTAAAATATGTAGAATTCAGAGGAAGGAAGCATATTCTGGCAGTAGGGATATTGAACACTTTAGTTCTTCCATTTGACTGGAGTAGTAGGTGCTTGAAATTAAGTAGCTGCAAGTAAAGTTTGAAAGGTAGGCTGCAGCCAGATCACAGAAGGCCCTGAACACCAATCTGGGAGATTTATTCATTGACCAGTTACTT